TGAGTTATGATAAGAGGGTTTGGATGTTGAGTTAGTCGGATATTGAATTAGTATAATTTAAATATTTAATAATCATGTTAAGTAAAATAGGTACATACATTATACATTATAATTAATGCTCAATAAAATTGTTTATTATAATTTTGAAAATTAAAAATAATGCACTCTTTATGTGATGAACATACTAATTACAAAAAATGTATATTAACTTTTTTTAAAGTGATTTAAGTTAATATTTTTTTCCATTTTAACTTTTATCTTATTGAGTTTATTATTATCATTAACTTGTCCATCTTTATTATACCTATATATTTTATATAATATTTAAGTTTAAATTATATTAAAATCTATTAGTTTATATTTTCAGTAAGTGATTGCAAAGAAAAATGGAGGAATATTAGAGGAAGGTACTTAAGGCAAGTTAAAGAACAACCACCAAGTGGATCTGGAGCCAAACGCAAAAAGAAAGATTACTATCTAAGTGAATACTTACAATTCATCGAACCATTCACCAAATCAAGACCCCAAACCGGAAATTTACCCCAGAAAATGATAACGATGGTTTAGAAACTGAAGATTATGATGAAATTGATATTGATACTTCTATAACATGTCAAGAAACTTCTGTACACAAACCCAAGACAAATGATAAAAGTATAAAAAATAAAATAATACATCATCACTAGATGAGCTAAATAAGGTAGCCACTAACTATTTTACCAATAAAAAATTAACAAAGGAAAGAAATGAAGAACCTGATGATCCAGATATGAACTTTCTAAAAAGCTTACTACCAGATATCAAAGCATTAAATCCAAAAGTAAAGAGAATTTTAAAATATGACATATTAAAACTAGTTAATGATGCTAATGAAAAAATGGAAATTAGTCAACAAGAACAAAACACAACAATACAACAAGGCACAGTTTATCAACCCCCCTATGAAATTAACCAACCACAAGATCTGCTACATCACCACCAAGAAACACATATTTCTCCTTATGACACCAACCAATCCGATAGTCAACCATACCAGCAAGAACAGCATACTCCATACTGGAGACCATTATAATGTTTTAAATTTCAGCTATTTATTTAGCTACAGGATTTCTTTTTAATTTTGTTTGATTCTTGTTTAACATTTCAAGGAGGTATATTAAACTATTTAACTAAAGTAATTAAACTTATTAACACTATTAATAACATTAATACTGTAACATTTTCCTATGAAGTATAATCTATCTATAAAAGTACATAGGTACCTAGCTATAATAAGGTATAGACGGTATAGTACATTTTGTTAATATAAATTGTTAAAATATTTAAATTTTTGCTTATTAGGTACCTTTGGTTAAGTTAATTATATCTATTAGTATTTTAGGATTATTTCAATTTCAAAGGCAAATATTTTAATAGGTATGCATTTATAAGTAATATAATTTGTTGTTCTATTTGTGTTGTCAAGTCAATTTTTTTTTTAAGGTATATTTATAAATTATAATGTATATTGATTTACTAAAAAAGTCGTTATAATCAATAATAGATTATTAATTAAACTATATTGTGATAAATTAAGTTTCTTAAATAATTWGTTTATATTTCTCACATTGATATTTCTAATTTTATATAATACATTTTTAGGGTACCTACTTAAATGGTATTTTTTAAATATATACATAGAATCATATACACAAAGTACAAACAATATATTAGTTATTCTTATTTATATAAGTATAAAAATTAAAAATATAAACATATAATGTACCTATTTATATTAAAATATTTTTTTTTTTCATTGACTAGATTAAAATAAAATGTACAAGTTAATTAAACATAGTACTTACCTAAGTGTAATCAACAGTCGCTCTTCAACAGATATGGACAAACGAAAATTTGTGTCTTTTTTTGTAATTTGGTCCGAGCCATGTCTGAAAGTACATTGAAAGATTCTTGCGACATACGGTAAAAATTTTTRAATTTTTCAGGATACATTGCTAGTTCTTTTGTAACCGAAAATGTACCAAGTGTATTAGCATTATTTTTAATGAATGGATGAACCCAATATTTTCGTTTTTTTTATTTTTATTCATGTTGTTTACTATTAATAGCATTAACATCTCTTCATCGGAACTTGACATAGTTACAAACTTATAAATCAAAGTACCTAATTAGAAAGTAATATAAAAATCCTCATATATTTAAATTAAAATCGATTAATGATAACGCCGCACATCCACCGCACATCTTTGGTGTGTTTTGGCGCGCTTTTGCGGCGCGGATGCAGTGCAACCGCACTGCTTTGGTGTGCGCCCTGCCTTAAACTTAATATAGGAAGTTGTGTGTTATACATAACATATTATATGAAATAMATAGAATAATACTTTAATTTTTTATATTATTTAATACAATAGCAATTTTCAGTAAAAAAACATTCTGTATACTAACTTATCATTTCATATGATCTGTATAAATATAAATAATGTAGGTACTTACAAATGTAAAGAACACATTTAATTTATGTATAATAATTAATTGAAACATAACATTAATWTATATTTAATAATTTATTAAACGGACGAACCCAATTACAATAATTATAATATGAAAACATAAAATAACGATATACAATATATAATATAGCTGTGGTGAGAGGCAGTGGCGTGGTGAGCTACTTTTTGACCAGGGGCCAGTTACAGAATACCAACCCACCTACCCATCTAAAATTAATATTTACACTTAAATTCAAATGCCAAGGGTGATTTTATATTGTACCTATATAAAAAAACATTTTTATACGTCATGTACAGTTTTAAAATATATTTTATAACAGTAACATTTAAAATTTAATATGTAAATATATAATACATTTATGCATACATATGTTTAACAAATAATATTTAATTATTTAAAAAGTAATGACTTCTTCATTAAATCACTATTGTTAACCCTAACTTATCTATCGCTTCATCAATCGTACGATGGTGCTGCTGTTATGCAATGACCATACTTAGGACTTAGAACGTTAGTTCAAGAGCACAATCCTCGAGCTGCATATATATGGTGCTTTGCTCATACTCTGAATTTAACAATTGTTGATACATGTGATTCTTGTTTAGAAACTCGAAACTTTTTTGGTTATATTCAATCATTAAAAGAGTTTATGGCAGCACGTAAAAGAACAGCATTATTCATGGAACACCAAAAAACATTATACCCACATGAGCGTGCTCGTCGAATGAAAAACTTTTCTACCACTCGTACATCACATCATAGGGTTAGGTATATGGTTGATTATGTAAGACAGAAACTAACCGAGTTACGAACAACTGAAGGGGCACATGAAGTATTACAAAATGCTAAACAATTTGCAATCGATCATGAACTTGAGGAAACACAACTTCCTGAAATTAGACTTGGAAAACGAAAAAGAATGTTTGATGAAATCTCTGAAGATGAAATAATTTYAAATCCAGTAGATAATTTCAAATCTAAAGTATATTTTCTAGTCATTGATAAAATAATAATGTCAATAACAACACGATTTGAAAAATCAAAAGATATTCTTAAAGAGTTGACTTTTTTAACACATGATAGATTAATGAGTGTCAATCAAGGAAAACCATGTCCTGACGATATGTTTGATTCATTGAAAATATGGATTCCTCAGATTGACCAAGATGCACTTCGCATTATATACTGTATTTTCTAAAAGTTTTTTAGAATTTCAATCTCAAATTAACCCAGAAAAAGTTCACGATTACACTGAAATTAATTTTTCTGACGATAATGAACATGAAAATGAATCTGATGAAAATCGTGAAAATGATAAAACTCAAGACACCAACATAAATTGTTCTAAGAAAACAACACCAATCCAATTGCTTCAACTGCTTAGTTCATTTGACTTAATTACAGCTTTCCCGACCTGTAACGTTCCACACTACCCAAGGGGTCTTACACATAAGCGCGTTTTTTTTATAAAGGTGGTTTCGCCGAGAGCCCTAGTCCACCGTTGATCTTGTACATCTCTCTCTACTGTTGAGTATTTACCTGGTATCGTAAAATCACGTCTCCGCCACATTAACACACTCCTGAAACAGAAATTATTATAAAAATTTTTTATTAAAATGTTATATTTTGTTACTCAAGTGTTAATAAATTACCTTTCTTCTATGCCGAAACAATTTGATCGACGTATTAAAAAAAAGGCCGCATCCTGAACATCGAAATTTATATAGTTTTAAATGTACAGATTGTTGATGATTATTTAAAAGCTTTTTGGTTGAATAATATTTATTGCAGTCCGGGCATTTATATGAAGTTACGTCACTATGAATTGTTTTCAAATGGTACTGCAAATCGGAATTATAAAAGAAACTGCTGTTGCAATTTAGACATTTATATGTTTTTCGCTTTTTTTTGTGGATTTCTATATGTCGCAATAATGTGGATTTGCTTGATAGCACTTTATCACACGTGGGACAATTATAACTTTTGAAGTGTGCATCCAAATGTTTATTACACCACACTTCCCTTTTAAAGTTTCTAGTACAACCAGGATATGTGCACTTGTAAATATGTGTACCTGTAACATAGAATGTATCAGTATGGGAGGTGTATTTACTCTCTACTGTAATATAAAAATATTATGTAAAAATCATCCATACTCCTTAAATCAGTATCAGTATCACTATCTTCTGTATCTTCTGTATCTTCTGTATCGATACTATCTTCTGTATCTTCTGTATCTTGTTCACCCATACTCA